AGAAATGACAGAGTTAGGGCAGTAGAGTGAGGTGGGGAGTGGGATTATAGCCAGCATGGCTGGTGCCCAAAAAGATAGGAGAAGGTAAGACCGAAGGCAGTTTGGGGTGTATTTGAAAGAAGCTTGGGATATTTTTGTACAGCAGACAAGAGGGACCCATAGACTATTTCTGATAAGAATAGTGACCTAATCAAAGCAGAGCTCAAACTCAAAGCAGAAGCTACTTGCCAGATGAACTGTTCAGAAGAGTCAAGGGGCTATAGTCAAGGAGCCAAGTATGAGGTCAAAACCAAATTAGAGATGAAGCAGTGGGAAAAGAAAGCAGCAGAGGGTTGTAAAAAAGTGCTGAAGAAAAAACAGATTTGACTTGATGTTTAATTAGATATGATGGAGGTGGGTGAGGAGTGAGGCAAGATGACTCATGTTTAGAGCCCGAGAGAACAAGTGTATTCTTAACAAACAAGGAAGTCCGCAGAAACTAGTTCTTTAGGAAGTTTAATTTTAGAAATTTTGAGTTTGAGGTGCTGTCAGAGTATCTAAATTTAGTCCCTTTGTTGGATCTTTTATTGCTGAGGATAAAAAGTCCATTCTATTACCGGAGAGTCCTGCTCTAAACCAGTCACCTACTTAAATTTCTCCAGTAAGATTCAGGAGACTGAAGAATCTGCAAGACAAATAAATTTTTCCTTGTTAACGTTAGTACTTCTCACACTAGAATGTTCACAACTCATAATGGTTCTTTTCACTAGATCTTACCAAAGATGCCTTCCATGCTACCACCCAATACAATTATACAGTTACATAAATGGAATTGGAACTCTGGGAGAAGACAGGGTTAGAGAGAGAGAGAGATTGATTGATTTGGGAGTTATTTGCATGGGAGTAAGTGGGAAAGCAAGAGGGCAATAGATTTTCTGTGTATATGCTTTAGCAAGTTCTGGTTGGTGGCTGGCTATGTCTTTTAAGATCACAGTGTACTAGGGCACAGTGAGTCATTCTGTGCTGTTTTCTTCTTCAGTCCTACCCTGCAGTTGTCTCTAATCAACTTCCTCTTATTTCTAACCATTTTGCCAGTGTTCCTATCTAAGCATTTCTCCTGTCTCCACTAAGGTCAGAGAAAAGAGAAATAGGCTGGAATCACCATCTCATCAACAAATGTTTGTGGAGTTACTTGTATGTGCTTAGCATCATTCTAGGTGTTTCTATCCTATTATATGAGTGATTTAAATTATATAAAAAAGATTTACTTTAATAGGGCAATTGTTAAAAGTTAGAATGAATTATTGAGAGAGGTCATATATTCTAAACATAGAAGAAATGGTTAGGTTGGGTGCTGCCTGATAATTGATAGTGGAACACACGATCTTATATGTTCTTGGTATAATATGAATATATTTTTAATTATATTTGTTGTTGACATATGGGTCAAGTATTTTTTCCCACTCTTTTCCACATCTGTATAAGCAGAGCCCTTATAATTGAGCTCGTGTTTCTTTTAATATATGACTACTTTGATATCTGCTATATTTTCCATATGGGCTTGTATATTGGCCAATGAAAGAGGAAATTCCATTCTTTTCCTTAAATCTGTTTTCTTTAAAGTTATTGTGGAAATAATGTATATATTGGAATCAGTTCTGAATCATGTTCTTTAAGTGAAAGTGCTAAATAATTTTCTTATATATAGCAGATATTATGCAAATGACATAACCTTTTTGAATGCATTAAATAGAGAAAATAGTGTTCTAATTCAACATGAGGTGTCTATTTTGTATAACTACAACATTTGCAATTTAGGGAATAGTGGTAGCTTAAGGTTCAGGCAGGAGGTCAGTGAAAGAGTAATACAATTTTCCTTTTTTCTGCAGATTTCTGTGAATAGACCAGAAGCCTACTTCTACAGGATATTTGGATGCAGGTGAGGCTTATTTGAAACAAATCTACTTTACAGTGCCACAGTCTTAACCTCTTTCCCCTGGAGCCCCAGCCTGTGAGTGCAGAGTTCTTACCTGTTTCCCCGCTAGTACTATCAGAAGTTCCTACCCTAACCTTGGCCCTGCTTTAGCCTTTTTCCCTTGGTAGCTTTGATAGAAGTAGCAGAAGGACCTGATGTGTGCTTGACATGGGGGATATATTTTTGGGAAGTATTTTTCCTCTTAATCATCTCTGTTCTAACTACTCTTTCTAGGTGGAGCTTTACTCTAATTACAGTAAAAGCTAAATAATGTGAACTTCAGTCTAGGAACTTTTTAGTTCCAAATTTTTTGAGTTAGAGATAGTTGTTCAAATAATTTTCTTGCTTATTGGTACTTTTCATCTGCTTTTAGGTACACATCTAGTTAGTTAATTGATTAATCATCTAATTTCTACTGGCAGGATAATGGACAAGTAACAACATGTCTAAGCTTATTTTCCAATTTAAAAGTGGGCATAACCACACTTTAATTCTAGGTTTGTTCTGAGAATTAAACAAACAAGATCATGCATAATGCCAAGAACACATATTTTATAAAAGAATCAGTTCAGTTCAGTTTGCCACCAGTAGTGTGATTCTGAATTTCAGTTTCGAGAATGGCTCAAAAAAATTTATATTAACTTACTATAATAGTAACACTTTTTTTTTTTTTACAGCATAGTGGCCAGACATTTATTTAACTTATAAAGTGTTCCCCCTGATAAGTCTAGCACTCTCCCACACCATACAAAATTATTACAATATTATTGGTTATATTCCCTATGCTGCACTTTACATCCCTGCCAATTTGTACCTCTTGATCCCTTGACCTTTTTGAGCCATCCCCCCAACCCTCCTCCCACCTGGCTACCATCGGTTTGCTCTCTATATCTGTGAGTTTGTTTCTGTTTTGTTTGTTAATTTATTATGTTTTTAAAATTCCAAATATAAATGAAATCATATGGTATTTGTCTTTCTCTGACTTATTTCACTTAGCATAATACTCTCTAGGTCTATCCATGTGTTGCATATGGTAATATTTTGTTCTTTTTTATGGCCTAGTACTATTCCATTGTATGTATGCACCACTTCTTTATCCAATTGTCTATTGGTGGACACTTAGGTTGCTTCCATATCTTGGCTATTGTAAATAATGCTGCAATGAACATAGGGATACATATATCTTTTCAAATTAGTGTTTGGGATTTCTTTGGATAAATAGCCAGAATTGGGGTTGCTGGGTGATATGGTAGTTCTATTTTTAATTTTTTGAGAAACCTTCACACTGTTTTCCATAGTGGCTACACCACTTTACAGTTCCATGAGGGTTCTCTTTTCTCTACATCCTCACCAACACATTTTTGTTGATTTTTTTGATGATAGCCAGTCTGACAGGTATGAGGTGATATCTTATTGTGGTTTTAATTTGCATCTTCTCATATGTCTATTGGCTATGTGTCTTCTTTTGAGATATGTCTATTCAGGTCCTCTGCCCATTTTTAGTCAGAGTGTCTTTTTGGTGGTAAGTTGTATGAGTTCCTTATATATTTTGGATATTAACCCCTTATGGGATTTATTATTGGCAAATATTGTCTCCTATTCAGTAAGTTGTCTTTTTGTTTTTTTGATGGTTTCCTCTGCTGAATGGCAACCACTTTTTGAGTGCTTATTATATGTGAGGCTCTGTCTTAAGCACTTAATATTAACCTTTTTAATTATCATTATAGCACCAGGTGGCAAGTTTCATGATCTTTATTTTATAAAGCTTGGATAGAAGTAACTTGCCTGGTGATAGCCTGTTGAAGTCTGTTTGACACCAAGGTCTGTACTTCTAACTACCTCCTTGTGACCATCTTCTAAATTCTGGTGCCATATTTTGAAAGTACAATACACAAACTTGAGCACTTATTCTTCAGTGATGATTTTGAGATTGACTGTGAGATGACAGATGTTACAATTGGAGTGGAAAAGGATTATGGACTTGGAACTCTGTGATGGGGTATACCATGGATCAGGGCATCTAAGGGCAGCTTTTCTTCCTTTCTAGAACATTGGCTAAGAACTCGAGCTTTGGAATCATATATCTTGGGTTGTATTCCTACTCTACCACTTAGTAGCTTTGTGATCTAAGACTGGCTCAGCTTTCTGAGCATCAGTTTCCTCATCATAAAATGGGGATAATATTGCACCATTTTATGAGTTAATACATGTAGATTTTTTAAAATAGTGGTTGACCCTTGGTAAGCTGTTAAACATTGTTAGTATTTCTGTGCCCTTCACTTTATATCTCTCTTCAGGCTGTCTCCATGTGTGCATAGTTGCACTCTTGCTAAGGGATGCATAGATTTATTTAAAGATATTGTGATGCCTGTTACTAGGATCATAACCTGCTTTTGCAGTTTTTAATAAAGGGAAAAGTTGACTATTACTCATAAATTTCTTCCATCTTCAGAAACAGTATTGCTCAATAATTCATGGGGTTAATAATCTTTTAAGTATTTAATTTGACTTCAAATTTATGAAATTGAAACCTGTTAAAACATCAGTGCTAACAAAAGCCAAATATATTGAGTGACCCAATTGACCTTATCTTTGGTCATAATTTCAGATTACTAATAAAAGAGAATTTAAAATATGTAGCTATATACAATCTTTTTTATTTTTGTGTGTGTTTTGTGAATGAGGTAGATGGTTAGACATCTTAGCCTTTTTGCCAAGCTCTAAGAAGAGTTAATAAAGTTATGTAAAATACATCAAACTCCTCAAGAGAGAAGTGTTATATTAATACCTGCCTCACAGTGATGTTACACTCAGACTTAATGATAGAAAGTTTGCAAATTGCCTTGGTACTCCCAGTAACATCCTGATGAAGCATCATTTTGTTTTATTGCAAGGAGCTCTAAGTTACACAGAATGCAAGTTAAGGGTGAAATAATTTCCCAGTCTTTATTTTACAATCAAAAGTACATAAAATAAAAAACATTTTCTTCAGTCGTGAATGATAATGTTGATCATTTATATATTTTCTCTCTCTACTACTTTTGGGAGAGGAGAATTATAATGCATAGTTTAATCGAGTACCCATCATTAAATTATATAGTGGCAGAAATAGCGATTGTAATACAGAGACCTTTAAGGACACTAGTATTCAAATATTTAAAAATTAAATTCCAGTTTTAAAGGAGTCAAACCCTTTTTTATATGATTACTATTAAGTTTGGCATTTTTGAGACATGTCTTAAATCGATACCTGTAATACTTACAAACATCAGTAGGGAGAATAGTATTGTAAACACATAGTCTTGCTGTAGGGTACATTTTAAATGTCTAAACACTAATCAATATAGAGAAATTAAGTATTGACTAAAATAGGTTTATAATAAGTAATTATTGGTTTGCTCTTTTAGAAATTAGACATTTTCACTTTGGGAATAAAGAGTAAATTTACTGTCATGAAATTAAAGTGTCTTTGACCTTTTTGTACAGCTTTCCTCTCTCTATGAAATGATTAGGTTTAAATATGATTGCACAGCTGTATTATGTTGCAAGCGTCAATTTTTAATTATTATAAGGTCAATGTTAGAACAAATGTGATTAGTACAGCACCTCAGTGCACTTATTTACTTTCCACTCAAAAACCACCCTGTGTTTACCAAAACCAATCTGAACCTCTCTATACTGATATGATTAATTAGATTTATGCCAGATCTTTTTTTTCTTTCAGTGTTCTTCTTATGTATGTTATTTTGTTGATTCTTTTAGTTTTTAAAAATACAAATTGCTTTATTTATCTCTTCCCTTCATATAGGGACATTTATTTTTCTGTGTTCATGTATATGTGTCTCTGTGTGTATAATCATGGATATCAATAACTTTACAATTCTCCTGCCTTTGTATAACATGATGTCTTAGTCAACTTGGGCTGCTATAACAGATACCATAGACGGGGTGGCTTGAACAACAAACATTTGTTTTTTATAGTTCCAAAGGCTGGGAAGTCCAAGATCAAGGCAGATTCAGTGTCTGGTGGGAGCCCTCTTTCTGGTTTGCAGATGGCTATCTTCTGGTTATGTCCTCACATGGACTTGCTTTATTGCATGAACATGAAGACACACAGAGTTCTTCCTCTTCTTCTAAGATATTAATTCTATTGTGAGGGTGTCCCCGTCATAACCTCATCTAAACATAATTACCTCCCACAGGCCCCAGCTCCAAATATCAGGATTAATTAATTTATGTGAAGCCTATCTAAAGAAAAGGAGTTTCACCAAGCGTAAGCTGATTCAAAGTGGTTTCGTGAACCACTTATTCTCCTACTCTAGCTCCATCACTGCCTTAGCCCTTACTACCTACATACCAAAATATTTATGAATAATGTAGCATAAACATGGCTAGAGAAATTCTTTTACTTTTAAGCAGGATATTATAAAAGCAAGCATGAAATGTGTTATAAATGAAAATTTTAGAAAGATCATGAATATATGATTTAATAGAACATTAAAAGTCACAGAAATATTGTTGATCAAGGTTCAAATCACTTTATTCTTCCTACTATGGAACTTGGTTAAAATCTTTTTGAACCAGGAAATGTCACTGTTTTTAGAGATCATACATCTGATATTTAACAAAGTAAGGGTAGAGAAGGTAATAGTGGGATGTTGGAGGTAGATATTTTTAGGTGGTAAGACAGGGCCTCCTGAAGTTTGTGACATGTGAATAGAGGCCTAGATGAACTATGGAACTAGCCATGTAACTACTTGGCAGAAGAACATTCTAGGCAGAGTGAATATCCCACTAACTCATCTCCCAAGGCCCACTCCAAAACCTTCCCCTTCGTCCAGGGCACTCCTCATACCCAAATACCTTCCATTTTTCCAGGCTCAGGGAAGTTATCCTTTTGCCTCAAGTAGAGCCATTTGTCGTCCATCCACCCTACTCTTCTCTCCAGATTCTATGGCTTCTCT